TCCTTGTTTGCAATTGCAAACAAGTTGGCGACCTACTACTACTACAGTTGCTGAGAGTGTGAGCGTTATCAAAATTTTCGAAAAAAGACAAAAAAGAGTGAGAGTTATCAACGAGGACAGCAGGAACGAACCATGTCGAAGCAGCGACGACATATATAAATCTGGTGCTACTCCTATATATGCAACAGTATAGTTGCAGGAAGTAGTTAGCAACCGAACAAACTAGACTGCATTGTCGTTCCCGAAACCGGTACCGTGCGAGAATAGGAGTGCGTACAGATACTCAGCGTCACACGTCACTGCAGCTGCGGCTATACCTGGCCAAGCAGCCCGTGGGCTCGTGGCCCGGCAATTTGGCCCGGCCCAAGCACGGAACGGCCCGGTGGCCATCGGGCCCGGGCCGGCCCGGCCCGAAGGACCAGGACGTGCCTGGGCCGCCACCTAGGCCCGCGGCACGGCACGGGCACGGCCTGGTGAAAGAGGCGGCCCGGTGCCTCCAACGGCTAGTGAGGCAGGCAGCAGCAGCCAAACCCCACAAGCCCCTCTCTCCCATGGCCAGATATATATACCCCCGATCCCTAACCCTAATCCCACTCCACTCTCCCGCGCGCATGCGATCAGCTGCCTCGTCTCGTCTCGCTCGCTCTCGATCCGCCGCCTGGAGCTCGCCGCCACTCGCCTTGAGCTCGCCGGCCCTGCTCCGGTGACCTCGTCGCCGCTCGTCCACCTCGACCTGAGTTCGCTAACCATCTCCTCCCTCCTTTCCCTTCCTATCCCCTCTTCCCCCTCCTCCGGTGTACCATGTGAGTTCGTCGTGTCTGTCCTTCCGCCGCCACTCACCGTCGTTCTAACTGTTGTCTGTCTCCTCCTCTAGTGAATGTGAATCTGTGAGCTTTTGTGAAAATGGTGATGAAAATGATGGAATCTTGTTCAAAACTAGTGAAAATGAAGAAGTGGTTCAAACACTCGGTGAAAATCTGGTGAAAATGAGATGTTTTTTGGTTGTCGGGTCGTGGGCGTAAGACGGCAAGACGGAAAATGGCCGTGCTCAACGGGCGGCACGCAAGACACGTTAGATTTGCCCACGGGCCGTGCCATGGGCCGTAGGCCAGGCACGAAGCCCGTGGAGGCACGGCACGGCGGCACGACGGCCCGTCGAGGCAAGACCCCCATCGGGCCGGCACGGCACGACGTTGGGCCGTGCCAGGCCGGCACGGCCCGTTGGCCATCTATAGCTGCAGCAGAGTGATCAAACACCAGTTACTCTCTTTGCATCGAAGGGGGTGTCTCTAGGTGGTCCCGACCCTGGCTACTGGGGCCTCCAGACCACGAAGTCTCGGTCCGGTAGCAAACCCTAGCCAAGCTGGACCATGGTCTACGGGTCCGGATCCCACCCCCTGCTCTCGGGCGTGGCTGGCTATATGCTCCAGACTCTGGTGATGGCTACGGACCATGCGAGTCCGGTTGGCCACCCCGTGACACGTGGCGTAACCTAGAGGCGACAAAGGTAATCCGGACCGTGAGCCTTGCTCCGGACGGAGCAACCGGACTGGGTCCGGATCAGTTTGGAGCTCTCGAGAGCTCTTAGGACTAGTCCAGACCGAGGTGCTCGTTGTCTGGTTGCCCAGTCCGGGGCTCGGTCCGGAGGTGGCAGTGCACGCGCGAAGTGACCGTTGCACGGCAACGGTCATCTTCAAACAGTCGAGGACACGTGGCAGGATCCTATGAACCAGACCCTGGTGGTGAATGGTCCGGACCCTCGGTCCGAACCCTGGGTTTGAATCCTGCACAGTTGATTTTTGAGCAACGGCTCTATTTGGCCTTTTGGCTATAAATAGATGGGGTGCTCGGGCTTGGCTGAGGTTGAGCACCTTGGAGGACTTAGTGTCCATGCTTGAGTGTGCTTAGGAGCCCTCTAACTCACTTGTTCTTGCAAGAGTGCGAATCGATTGCGAGTGAGCGATTCTAGTGTGTTGCATTACAAGATTGCATCGAATGGCACTAGGTGATCAAGTTGCAAGATGATGGTGCTTGTTACTCTTGGAGGTTGCCACCTCCTAGACGGCTTGGTGGCATGGTCTCCGTCGAAGCACGCAAAGAAGCTTGTGCAGTGCTACGGAGAAGTGATTGTGAGGGGTGTTGTGCTTGCCCCGCAGGAGCCGTGAAGAGCAACTCTAGTAGAGGGAGACACGAAAGGCGACAAGTGGTCCGGCCGGGTCAAATGCTAGAGCTTATGGTAAGCACTCCACGTGGAAGAGTGTGACTTGCGGGTCACCACTAGCAAGAGGACCGGCGACAAACCTTGGAGCTTGTCTCAACGGAGATTAAGTGGTTGACAAACCACCGAACCTCGAAATAAAAATCATCGTGTTCTGCAACTGCCAGACTTACAAATCATTAATTATAGAATAGTGATGCCTCATCAATCGGGTTGGGAGGAGTACTACATTAAGGACAGGCGCCATAGCCTTCTTCAGTCGAAGTATAGCGCCGTGACACTCCAAACTACCAGGATATGAAAGGGAATTAATCGGGTTAGTGACGACAGTTATACATTGGCGACCTTATTTATGGGGATGTACCTTAGTGACGATAGTTATACATTGGCGACTTTATTCATGGGGATGTACCTTCACAATTATATCATATCACTACATCCTCAAATATATTCTAGATCAACACCTATCAACAATACCGCAACACCAATGGGTAAGCAAAATACCCGGCTATACTTAAACCTGGTAAGCAGAAACTAATGGCGCAAACTAATCTAGCCATATCAACACTACAAAAACGCAAGTTATCTCCGAAATATTTTGGCCCCTTTAAGATCAGTGAAGGCTCTGTAGCATACCCCCTTGAGCTCCCTTCAGATATTCCCATCCACAATGTCTTTCATGCGAGTCTACTTAAGAAATATAGAGGGCTTCCGCTGTCAACTCCTCCCCCACTACCTACAATGCATGAGGAAGCAGCAGTACTAGAACCAGAAAAAATGGTCAAAGCTCAACTTCATAGAGGTAATCCATAGGTGCTGATCAAATGGAAAGAATCATCATGGGAGGAGGCAGAGCTGATCAAACAACTATATCCAACAGTCCAGCTCGAGGAGGAGCTGATTCTCCATGCAGGAGAGATGTCATGGTCGGTAAGATGTACAGTAGGAAAAACACACCCAGACATGTTAGCGGGCTAAATTAGTAGGGAGGAACCTAGACCCAGCTGTTATAGATTAGAATTAAAGGAGTAGCAAGGGTCATGGGCTCTATCTATGGGAGGCTCAAAGCCCATTAGTATTCTTGTAAGCCCATATATAGTATTCTTGTAAGCCTCTATATATAGATCAGGGCAATTTCATAATGAAAGGCAAGCAAAGTTTAGGGTTAACTCCCTCCCTCCTAGGGTTTAGGGTTTAGCTCTCTCTCGTTGTCTTAATCTCTTTTTTTTTTGGACAACAGAGACCGTCAGACTGAGCTTTGGCGATTTGTTTGCCGAACGTCCAATGCAATTTCAATCCAGAGAGATGAATAAGTTCACATGATGAAGCCATCTTACCAGTCTAATGCTAGAACCAAAGTATGCTGGAAGCATAATAATCGGAAACATGACCTAATGTGACAGCTCCCTGCCAATACACATTCCAATGACTACAATTCTAGAATTGACTCTAGGAATACCCAATTACCCGTTGTTGCAGTGAAGCCTTGGAATTGTGTTTCGTAACAGTGAGACAGTATATATATATATATATATATATATATATATATATATATATATATATATATATATATAAAATGCGTTACTAGACAAAGAAACTTGAAATGTTGTTAAAGACTTTTATGAATTCAATACATCTAGCTAATAGCCCCTTGAGAAGAATTCAACTGAATTGTCGGATTTTGTGTGACCAAATTTCTTTCTTGTTGAGGATATTACTAGATTTACTAACCAGACAACAAATTGCCAATTTCAGACAGATTCGAAATAAATGCAATTATTTGCAATTGACTGCAAAATTACCATTTCCGTTGGCAGTGGCCACCTTCTAGCAGTTCTAAAATTAGACCATAATTAAGAAAAAGGCTATATGCTAAGCCTAAAAGAACAAGAAAAGGTTGAGAAAACCAAAGAGATCTTTGAAAATTCAGTTTTTCGGTTAGTTAGTAAGTAAAAACTATATTCCTTGTAGAGACAATTTAAGTGGCTGTGTATGGGAAGGAAGCAAAACTTGGTCTGTGTGACAAGCTAGAACCAATTGACCATTTGTAACTCAATATCTAATAGTTATCAGACAGGACTGCGACCTGGAATGGAGGAAAAGTCCATCCGTCAAGACGTTTGGTTGCTACAAGACCATATGGCAGGCCAGGCCTTTCTTCCGGGAAGAATAGCAAAACTGATTGGTTGTTGAGGTTAACAAAACTGGTTGGGTGTAGAGGATTTAATCTTTTCGTGTAGTATATGTGCTCTCTATTCTGTGCGTAACATCAGTATTGATTATTGGAAATTTTGAACTCACTGAATAAGTTTCAAACCTTTATGAACTTGTATCTATCTGCGGAATCTAAATAGAATTTAGGTCTCACTAAAACAGCATGAGACCAAACTCTGGGATTACATTTGTTTATTATGGTGACTGTTCTACATTGTCCATAATAAAGGAGACACATGAGCGATATACTCTTCTTCAGAAATGAAAAGGTTTTCTCAACACATCAGAGTTCAAACTTTCAAAAGAAGGGACCATTAATTTTTTTTAATGTTTTGTTCTGATGCAACGCAATGGAGCAAAAGTAACAGCACATGTGTTATTTTCAGAAATGTGCATCCCTTGAAAAAGAAAAGTTAAATCAAAACACTGGGGAATAAATACTTCTACACATATGAGATCGAGGTCAGATTAGTGTCAAAAGCAACTGCAGAGGCACAGAGAGATAATTGAAGCTCATAAGTCTACTTAGAATAATAAACATGTAGATATTTGTGATATTATTGAAAAACTAATCAACAACTGAAAATGTAGCCAGAACATCCCATTTCAGTCGTTTGTGTCCATACCAAACTAATCAACAAATCAAACATTCAGAACTACTCTAGATATCAGCATACTGTCTTACTGCCTGTATCCTGCAATTCAATATTTAGATACATTGATGCTATCTGTCAACAAAATGTCCATACAACACAAAGTTCAAATTTATCTCTAACTTGGAATCCTAGGTCCTGTCATTCATATAATTTTCTAACAAACTTAGAGCATGCTTTCTTTCACACAAATGAATGTGATGGTAAATGTTAGAAATATAGAAGCACAAGGAGCATTGCCAGTAAGCTTACATATGTTATATGTAGACAGGAACTTCAAAACTTTGAGAACGCTATCATCAACTACTTCACACTTGAGCTCCACTTTCTTAAGGTATTTTGAAATTGCAGCTGATCTCTTTGTCGAACTGACACATAGTTTCATCTCCACTTTAGGTTGTGGCATCTGCACAGAACAAAAACATTTCAGGAGGATCAACTGATATGTAATAATTCTACTATGCAGGCATTGAGCATTTATAAAGTGTGAACCTCTGGGCAAAGTTGAAGAGTGAGCTTCTCTAGAACGGGTGAGTGTTCAAGGATACAAGCTAATGCACAGAAGTCATCAGGCACACACCAATAGTCAGCAAGGTCTTTAACTTTTGAAACATAGGGCACCATCTCAAATCCCTTTTGAAAATAAACTGCATAAAGAGCAAGGCAAAAGGACGCAACGGTTGTCATTATGAACATGACAGATTCAGGATTAGCCATTGGTGATGGTAATGCATGCAAAGAAACAAAGGCTGCCTAGGTGATATCTATCAAATAGCAAGAACGATACAGATAATTCAGAGTTCCAAAGATGATATGGATAGTGCAGCAGAAGCTGAATGACTTAATAGTGCATTATCAGTAAGGTATGAAATTGTAGGTATACCATTTCAGGTCTAGAAATCAGCGCCAAATTCTTAGCCTCTGAAACACCTTTCAGGAGAACACTGTTGCCACTGCCATCATCCATGTTATCAGAATTATCACAGGCCTCACAATCACAAGTCTCATAGTTTGCGCCATTGCAGCGATCTGTACACTCTTCTATTCTGACAAATACCTCCACTAGTGATGGCATGCTATAGAGCATGGGAGTTCTCTCACGGAGGTAAACAAGGTGCGGTGAATCCAGATTTGGGGCATAAATGTGAATGCGGGAATCACTATTGAGCACAGAATCATTGATACGCAGATATTTGATGGAGTCAGATGAGATCTTCGTGACCAAAGACAAATTGCAGCACTCAATCTCTAGATATTCCAATGCCGGACATCTTGAGAAATTAAGCAAACTGTTGTGCACCCTCACACCATCAAGCTGCAGCTTCGTCAGGTGCTCAGACACAAGAGGTAGGTTGTCTAGTTCAAGCCACGGATCCATTGAACAATCACCAAGCATACAGATCCTTAGCTTCCGCGCTCTGCATATCACAGCCTGCCGGAACCAGAGGTTCACGTGACGCACATCGTCCCCGCCGCTGAAGTCTCCAATTGTGAAATCGCATGACTCGAGAGGCGAGCCTTGGCGGAGGACCAGCAGATGATTCACTAGGCTCCGAAGCTCCTCCACGGGCATTGGATCTTCGGCGAGGGGCACCCGATGCGCAGGCCTGTGGCGGATTTCCAGAGGTGACGCCAGCGCCGGGCGAGCACAGACGTCTGCACGGCCTCAGCAGACGGAAGAAAGCCGAGTATGTGCTCGAGGACGCCGTCCGGCAGGGATTCTATGCTGCCTCCGCCCCCGGCCACCGGAGGTACTGCCCTCTTGGCCGGTTGCCCCGGAGGCATTCGGTCGAGCAGGCGGCGGGAGTCCATACTCTGTGGAACAAGAAACGATTACAAGACGTGAGGGTCAGTGGAGCCGGGGCAAACCGAGAAGACAAGAGGAGGACGGAAAGCCTTCGCAGGGTGCCGCGTGGCATCCTCACCTCGCCAGCGCCGGCTGCAACGGTGGTGTCGCGGCAACGCGCGGCGGCTTCACGTTGCGACGAGCTGTCTCGAGCAGCGGCAGGAACGGGAAATGGAGGAGACGGGCAGAATAGAAATTGGGGGATTTTACTGGCATCTGCTGGGCACTGACAAATTGGTCCCACATTACTACATTCGATCTACCCCATCTGCTTGCTTCTCCAATAAAATATATAGTATAAATATAGATATTTCGTATTCATTTCTATTTCTGATATGATACTAAAATTGATATTATATATATAGATATACTTCCTCCATCCCAAATTATAAGACGTTTGACTTTTTTTGACACCAAGTTTGACCACTCGTCTTATTCAAAAATTTGTTCAAAATATCACTTATTTTATCGTGGCTTACTTTATTAATAAAAGTTCTTCAAGAATGACTTAAATTTGACTATGTTTGCACAAATTTTTTGAATAAGACGAGTGGTCAAACTTGGGATAAAAAAGTCAAACGTCTTATAATTTAGGATGAAGTATTAAATATCTGCTTTTCATAACATCTCTCTATCCGATTCCAAATATGTATTCAACTGTTATCTTTATTCGTGAGGAATATTCACATGATAAAAATATTTCAAAAGTTAACTTTACTATGACTAATGATATTAGTTTTAGTATTATTAATGATGTGTATAGTGAAACTATTGAAAAGCTCTCTCCAACAAATAATTAATGACTAAGGATAAATAATTAATATGCATATAGCAATATTAACTTTAATTTAGTATTGTTATGATTTAATTTGAATTCTATATTTGTTGCTATAAATTATATTTAAATATATTATTTTATTTTTCTGTTTCCAATATTATTTTATATACTTTATTTATTTCCTAATACACATTTTTATATATGATTGAATAATTATTTATTTATATATTTTAAAATCGTTGTATATTTAATGATTAAATTATTAATTTGATGTTGCGTTATTTTCAATCTACTACATGTGCTATATACTCCTAAGGCCTGTTCGCTAGGAGAGAGTAATATTTTAGGTGGAAAGTTCAAAACTTCAGATGATGCTTGTTGTTAGCTGGAGGGTGTAAAATGTGTCTTTTCCCGTTCGGATGTTCTGATGTTCGAGGATGAAAATCCATGTTATAGGGCCATGACCTACTTCGTCCTTCTGACTAACAGTCAAAGCTTCATGCGCCACGACAAGTCATTTGACTCCTCAGCATCAAAGGAAAATTGGTAGGCACTAGTCCAAATCATATTATACAATTCCCAAAATCCCAAGGCAACATGTAGCAGGGGCCAAGAGCGACATGATCAGCAGGAACACAAAGAAGAAAGGCCACCGCGAGACGTGCTAGAGGGGGAGAAAAGGAACTAAATCGCGATTGGGAGAGCTTACCCATGCCGGTTAAAAGTGAGAAGGCGGTGGTTTTACGCCACGCGAAATGACGTGAAGCGAGTTTATCGAGTCCATAGAGATGATGTCTTTTTATTTAGGCAAAACTGGCTCTAGAAGGGTTTATTGGCACTTCTTGTACTTGCTTTTAGTTTTAGGTATCCCAATGATCCCATCAAGATTCACGATGGATGGCGATGAGAAGAACGCAATGGATGAGCCTGATCATGCCACTACATTCTCAGTGAATCTCAAAACGTTTTGAATCGTGACACACAATAATAACAAAGAGATAACTGAACGGCCAGATTTGGTCAAATGAAAAAAGAAACGGTCCAGATTGCCAAAAAAAACCCACCTGAATTAGGAGCAGGGATAAAACCAGATCAGATACGAACGGATATTGATACTTAATATGAGTAGTTTTTTTTTCTAAAATTCAAAGTGGTATACGGATAATGTCGCATGCAACAAATATTGATTAATTAATTGATATATTCCATATACATATCAAAAATCTAACTTGAGCATTTAGATTCGGACACTGTACAGGTATTAAGGGGCCGTTTGGCAGGGCTCCGCGAACGGCTCCGGCTCCTGCTGAAGCCCTGCCAAATGCACACCCGAAGAATAGCTCCGCCGGCGAAGCCGGAGCCCTTTTTCTACTGCGCCAACGAAGCCACCAAAACGAGCTTCCCCGGGCTCCTCCTTCGTCAGGGCGCGAAAGGACGCGGTGGTCCTCCGCTGGTTCGAGCGTCGGTCACAACGAGGCCGGCCAGTTTTGGTGCATGCGCATGCTGTGCCTGGCTGCTTGTGCGTGTAGTAAAGAAAGAGGAGGAGCTGCTAGCAAGAATAGAAGAAAAGATAGGGTTCCTAATATAAAAATACAAGAGAGAGAAAATAAAGAATGGCTCCAATAATTTAAGCCCTTTGCACGGCTCATCCAAAACGGCTTCACCGGTGAAGCCAAAGCCGGTGAAGCTAGAAAAACTGGCTTTTCCCGACTTCTAGTTCATTTTAACCCCGGCTTACAAAACGGCTTCACGCTACAGTGTCTCGATTTGCGCAAAATAGATGAAGCCGAAGCCGGCATAAGCCATGCCAAAGAGGCCCTTAGAAATAGACCAGGTTCCTAATGAAAAAGCAACCGTTAGCTTTCTCCTAAAGTTGACCAAATCACCTGATACTTGAAAAATACGTAATAAATCACATAAATATCAAAAAATAGTAAAACTAATTTTTCTACATTGGATTTAACTAGATCTGCACCATAGTAAAATAATAGGTAGGAGTATTATAGACATTTACCATCTTTCATCCATTCCAAAAAACAGGATGAGCTGTTTTGCTAAACGTTTTTCAGAACAGCTTCAGCTTGAGGAGCCACTTCTTCAAAGAAGCCAGAGTCAGAGCTGTTTTTAGAGAAGCCGGAGCCCTGCCAAACAAGACCTAAGTACTCTCAAAATACTACCTTTTTCTAGTTCATGTTTGAAGGTGCCGGACCGGTTTTCTTCCTTCTACATTATGCTGAGTACCCAACAGTGCTACATAAGCGTTTTGAGAGCCAGAGCTGGAGCACCCTCCAAAGTCCAAACGGGCCCTTAGATTAGTCATTTTTAAATTGCTTGTGTAATTTATAAGTTCAGTTTACAGTATGTGCATTTAGATTAGTCATGAGATTATTTTGAAAAACATGAACCTACATATACACACACAAAACTCCAGGCTTTCACATTCCAAAAAAAAAAATCCAAACTTTTTAAGTCAGAACTCAGAACATCATTGAACGCCATTTTACACAGTAAAGTTACAATCCATGGGCATTAAGTACCTGTCCACATATAGACAATAGACATGCACATAACAAGAAGATATATGCAACTGGGTTGATCTGGCATACTAACAGGAAAAGAACAGCTAGGCACCTTGAGTAAGCTGCACAGGAAAGGTTGCAAGAAACATCATCCAGGTCCAGCAAAGTTGGCAGTACATAGGTAGAACTGGGAAACAATCCTAGAGACAAAAGGCAGCATGCTTACTCAATTGGCAGATAAGTGCTTCCCTGCATGAAAACTTATCAGGTTCAAGTAGATAATCTTAACTTGGTACACAACTGGAGGAACTAAAAACAATCCCATAAGAAGAAGGCATCATTCTTAGTGATATCAGTTATCTGTGGCTCTTAGTTTCCTAATGTAATTAAGTGGCAGAAGATCCGTCTTCAGCTTTAAGCTTCTATGGGAGGGAAACTAAAACCTATACAGATCGAAAAGCATAGTCAGTGCCATGGGGTATCATCTTATAAATGATTGAGAGGTAAAAAAAAAGGCAAGTAAACATGAGATACAGGAAAAGACTAGCATATGAAATTTCACTTGACTAAACTGTACTGAACTGGAATATTCGAAAGATGGAGTTGTGAACAGCTAAAATTGAGGTACAGTAGAAACCTTAATCAATTACTTCCCATGTTCAAGGACATGACATCTTCAGGTCATGGAAGTCTTTGACATGCAGCTTTGAATTTTACATAAATAAGTATCATGGTATACTATTGCATTTTTGTTTTCGACATGCAATTTTGATTGCCACCTTTTAAATAAAATGTTTGCACAGAACTGTAAAATGAGTGACCAATCTAAACATTATTTTATATATTTATAGATGGAGGCATTTTCATTATTTTTGAAGTAACATCTTCACTACAAACACAACTAGATGAAAATCAAGATATTAATTAGAGGTGGAGAGCCCTTAATGCAGAATCCTAAGATGATAAGGTGGATAGCAAAGCTGAGAAATTAAAGTAGTCAAATGGAAAAGGATTTGGGTATCGCATCCTTGCATAGAACTCGTCTACTCCCATAACTGTTCAAACAGCACCTGGATACAGCTTTCTAAGATTGTGAAACAGATTCAAGGGTCCAAAGTATGATAGTGGTTAACCCAACAATAAAAAAATGAAACAAGAAGGGAGGCAGATAAGAATCTTTAACTTTTGAAACCCGAGTCCAAGCTCGGGCAGCTCATTGTGCCACGTCATATGCAAAATTACTGCCATCCGATCAGACGCCAGTTATATCGAACGGCTAATCCTTACGGCTATCGTGAGTGTCTTCCGGTCGTTTGCCGCGAGTTCCAGAAGCGCAAGCCACCGGTGCGACCGTGCGAGTCCCTTGGCGCGGCAGGCCACCAGCACGGGTCCCTGTCACCGGCGAGCTGGCGAGGCAGCATCCAGGGGCGGGATCGACTCGCGGCGGCGGCTCCCGGCACGGTGGCCTCGGCCCCCGGCCATGGGGCGCGGCGGCGGCTCCCAGGGACCTACGGAGGACGCTCATCAACCGCCGGCAATCTAGTCCTAAGGGAAGCACGAGATCAGAGCTCGAGATGGATGCCGCCGCCCACCATGTGTTCTATGCAATGCTGCCAAGAGGAGAGATAGCCGCACGGCGCGGGGCAGCACAAGCCTCTCGCTCGACAAGAGGCTCTGGCACCCGCACGCCACAAACCCCGCCGACTCCACGACGGAGCACCAGCTCGTAGATTCCTTCCGCGAGCTCCGCTGCCTCACCTTGTACACTTCGGTGCTGGAGTGCTGGTGCAAAAGGGCGGTGGCTCAACTGCAAGTCGACGGCAACAGCGACAATCACCTCCAGTCCTCCACCTGCCCCTGCCTTCTCTCTCCGGCAACAATCCCCTTTCAGTTTCCAATCCCAAATTTTCATTTCATTCCAAGTCACATGTTTGTCTGTTCTCCTTGGATCTGTGCTTTGCCAACTTTCTCTATCGCAACATGCAAGCAAGGCACTCGATTAAATGCCAACGCTAGACATGGCAGCAGATTTAAGGTACAAAGTCTCTTATTTCATCCTGTAGTTATCACATTCACTATGAAACACTGATTTATGCAGTGCATTTCCACAAATTTTCAAAAGACAAATGCTCAAGTAACAAACTATTGTGTGTGTTAAGTATATACGTTTGCCTCACAGATCAACGAAAAAACATTGGTTTCATAGAGCCAACAAAGATGAAAAGTTGAAAACACACTTATAGACAAAGGGAAATTCCAATGAAGAATCCTGTTTATTTACAGAGAAATATTACAAGCTCAAAGATGTCCTAGGGCCGAGATAACAAACCATATAGATACAAACTGCACTCCCTCAGCTTTTTGTTTTGTTTATTTATGCTCTATAATTTTTCTATAATTATGAGTACAGGTGTACGAGCAATGAGTACTATTATACTCTGTTTTTTACCTTCTTTCAGTCACCGTTCTAGAGGATTTGAGGTACAATTTATGTTCATTTTACATAGATAAATACATTTCAGTTCCTACAAACAGCACATTTCTTTCGGTTCCTACAGATTTAGGTGTGTGCTTCCCTACATCTCTGAACATAGCTCAGTTCTCAGCTCCCACCAATCTCTCTTAATTTACATGGTTAACATAACAGACTGCGCCATTGCTTGTGTTGGTTGATGTGCTACCTGTGCGACCAATTGGCAAAGAGTCGCGATTCACGCACACACTATGCCAGCGATTAGCGATTGAGGATTCCTTCTGATTGGTTGTGGTGATTTCTTCTTTTGGGGTGCGGTCGTCCATGTCCTTGTTGGATCCAATTGGAATGTTTTCTGTATGTCTACAGTCATCTATCAGGCTTGCCTCATTGTCATTGGAAGCTTCATGCTTCAGTTATCCATCTACCCAAGATCAGTTTGGGACATTATCTGGTTGATTGGTATTTGGTTGATAGGCAGCTGGTTAATATCACCAAAGACGGGGAGGCAAGGTTGCTTCCAATAAACACACATGGCCCATGGGGGTTGGTTCATCGGAGTTCCAAAGTTTGTTTCTCTTCATCAGCTTTGAAGCTCATCTCTCATCAATATTATAAATTTTTGGTTCAGAGCATTAGCTTTTATTCAAATCTTTACGATGGTATACCTGTCATTTTAACAGTCATAATGTGCATGCCTAAGTTAAGCATGCATGTTATCTCAAGGCTGAAACATGAATCTTTTTTAAAAAGCAATACCTTCTTGAAGCAATCGTGCATAGGATATTTAATTTTATAGGTGTGGTAGATAGTTTGTAGAATACAGAGTTAGTTCCATTCACGACTATTTTGATTGTGCTATGCCCAGATAGCTTCTGATATTCAAATTAACTGTAATGGGAATCAACTGATTTTATCCAGCCATCGCAAGTATTTGATGATTGCATATAGAATATATTTACTTATTATCTATATGTGACCACTAGAGCATGCAATATTTCTTTCCTGGAGTTTAACATAAACGAGAGGAACATATGTGTTGTGTCATTACAATATAAGATTTCCCGCTAGCAATAACTGACCCTAAACAAGCTTTCATGTCTTTCAAAATTGGACCAGAATTCTTTTTATTTGTATTAACGGAGAAAGGTAGGCTTGCATAGTGCAGGTGAGTCCCTGCTCCCTCGATGTGCTTCTCATGTTATCAACACCATTTTTACGGTGAGGCTATACTTGTGCTAAGCGGCAGGTAGCTTCGTTGGCTAGTAGCTGGTAAATGCGTCAAATGCTTGAACAAAGTCCGCTGCTGCCTTCCTGATGACGTTGCCTTTTGTGCCGTGTCATCAAAACGCCTGCTTCTTTGCTTGCTACTCGCCTGTGAGTTGCTGTATTTGTATGGTAGTAAACATATCAATGTGATGTAATCATGGGAGTGCATATTTTGTTTTAGTGTTACTTCTGATTAGTTTATTATCTGCAAATATCTGTGAAAATATTTTCGCGTCACCGAATATGATAATTGTGACTCTTAATTCCTCCGGTAGCATTGCATGGGTTCCATCTATTATCTAGTCATATATCCTATAACTAAGCTAAATCTGAAACAATAAAAAAATACTAGCTGGATAACATCATGACTAATTTTCAGCTTCTCTGCATTTAGATTCATGCGCAACAAACTAAAATAACCACTGGCGATCTCAAAGATGGCGCGGCAACGCCGCGCTGCGAGTTTTCTAGTATTCTACTAAGACACTCATACCCTAGTGAGTGTGAGGGAGGCAGGGAGGCAGGGAGAGGGGAGAGACCCCCAATGAACAAAGAGGGGATTATCAGCTGAACTTCTGAAAGTAACAGTTAGCACAACTTACAACTTAGAAATTACATATACAGCAGGAGCTATTAAAAAACTGACATATGGACATATTTGTGTTATGGTACAGAAATAATTAACACATTATAATACTGCTCTGTCCCAAAAATTAGTGCACATGTTTCTTTTTCTCTAGCTGAGTTCATTCACATTCCTAAAGTTAGGAGTTTCTTTGCTGCTTTATCTTTCCCACATATAGAGGCAAACAATTGCAATATGGAAGCATGGAGAGTGAGTCTATGTATACAAACACTTGTGAATAAAATGGATCAGATGGTAATGGTATTTTCCACTTCCATCACTAAAATGTGGTGCAAAATTTTCATTTCCGCAATAACTTGGTATACCCAAATCACTGCTTTAGTAATAACTAATATAGAGTTTCTTCATTGCTTGCCACTTCAGTTTTCCCATATGTTAAGCCAAACAACAGAAATATAGAAAGCATAAGTGTTGCTAGCTAACTTACTGATGTTAAGTTTGCTCAGGAACCTCAAAACTTTAAGAACGTTTCCATCAACCCCTCCACAAATGATTTCAACTTCCTTAACGTGTGATGATATGGTTGATGGTAGCTCATTTGGATTGAACCTTCCTTTAATTTGCACATTAGCTTCAAGTAGGTGAATCTGCATTATCATAAAGATTTCACCACGATCAACCAACAACCTACATTAAGTTCTACAATGCAGAAGTTGCCAATTTAGAAACCGTTTACCTTGAAATATAAATAAAAGAAAGCTTCTCTAAAACTGGTGAATGTTCAAGAATACATGCTAGTGGATACTCATCAGGCACACACCAGTTTTCATCGAGAGACAAAGACTTTAATCGATTAAAAGTAGGACAACCTTTCAAATCCCTTCTGAAAATGAACTGTACAGATAGCAACCAGATAGGTCAATGAACTTTTACTATAAACATAATGTTTGAAAAAGGCGAACATGAACATGATGATTTGAGGTCTCAGCATACCGTGTCAGGGGAAGCTATCAACACCAAATCCTCTGCTTGGGACACAGCACGCAAAATCACACAGGCACTGCCATCTCGTATGCAACCTCGGCAGCTCTTATCAAAGTCCACGTAGCTGACATAGTTAGGAGCAGGACTGCTACATAAGTCTTCACAAAGCCCACGGATTCCAACAGTTCCCTTAACCAACAAGGGCATTTTCTGAAGTACAGGGGTCCTGCCAAAAGTGAGCAGCACCGATGAAGCAAGATTCGGGGCAAGAATTCGTGCTCGGGAACTCGGGTTGAATGCGCCTCTGATATTTAGATGCCTTAAGGACAGGGATGAGATCCTTTCGGCATGCTCCAAGCTGCAGTCTTGAATATGTAGATCTTGCAACTCAGGACATCTCGAGAAGTCAAGAAAATCATCATTGAACACTAGGCCGCGAAGCTCTAGCTTGGTCAGGTGCCTGGAGGCGAGGGGTGGGTCATCCGGCCGCAGCCGAGCCACAGGACCTACATGGGCATTCCCAAGGAAGCTGAGCCGCAGGACCTGGACTTTGCACTGCACGGCATACCTGACCCAGAGCCGCACGCGGCGAACGTCAATATCGTCTCCGGCGACCCTGAGCTCAAATGTCTCCAGAGGTGAGCTTCCACGGAGGAGCAAGAGGCTGTCGACGAACTCCCGGACCTCCTCGAAGGGCACCGGCGCCTCCCCGTCGGCGCCGACGATACGCAGGCCAGTGGCGGACTTCCAGAGGTGGAGCCAGCGCCGGGCGAGCACGCAGGTCCGCACCGCCTGCTGCGCGGGGAGGAAGGAGAGGACGTGGTGTAGGGTTTCGTCCGGGAGAGCGCCGATGCGGTCGCTGCCGCTCGCCGGAGCTGCTTTCCGCGCTCCCTTGGGCGCTTTACCGGCAGGCATTCCGGCGGTCGCGGGGAGGATGCTTAGCTCCGCAAGGCAAGAGGCGATGGGGGCGAGCTGCGAGATTTGGGAACGGAGCAGATTGGGGCTTTTGCGGGTGGCGGCACGGACGATTTGGGGGAGTGCTGGTTGGGGCTACTGTAGCTAGAGTGGAGCCATATCGGCGGCGGCGGTGGCGGGCAGTCAGCACCGCAGCGGCGGTGAAGCTGTGGAGCCGTGGAGGTCGTCGGGACTGGGCTTGCACTTCTTGACTATCTCAAATCCAAAACAAACACCCATTTCACCTTTGGTAGTGTTACATGTATAGGTTTTAATATTTATTTTTAGTCTTTTTCAATGATAAAATCTAAAGAGAACGCTTTCAGCAGATAGGTTTTTAGAAAAGAGGTACAGAGACCGATACAGTACGTGATCCATTTTACGTTTGGATGTTCTTTTGGGTCAGATAGTCCAGGTCCAGCACCACTCGGCTGCCATCCATGTGTCCGTGGGCTGTGCTGGGCTGGGCTGCGCGGAAATCAGGCTGGCTCGATGGACCATGGGTTGTAACGACTGTGAACATCTATCACGATCACGATGCATCAACGGCAGTCTACATCACAAGTGTGCTCCATAGAACTAGGAAGGTGGATGCCCAAATAGCACGCGGGTAGCTCATTTATTATAATAAAATTTGATTCTTTAGTAAAATATTTTTAAATAGTTCTTCAGGTTCAGGTTAAAGCTTGGGGTCACCTTCAGCCTGTTCGCTTGTTGGTTTCAGCCAGCCCAAACCAGCCAGCCAACAGTGTTTTTCTCTAAAAAAAATAGCATCAGCCAGCCCAAACCAGCACCAGCACCAACCAGCGAACAGGCCCCTTATGTGAGGGCCTCGGTTGGACAAGCTGATCGAGTTGACTTGAGTTGACCAAAGATTCGCATGGGGTCTTCTAGTTTGTTGTCCTCAAGATTAGAGTTGAGGGATTTTCACTGCGTTAACAAGGTTAACCATGCAAAAGGAGAGCAGAAAGAGAGTGATCTCATAACAAAGATGAGTTGAGACTCCGAGTTAGAAGAGGTTTTAGGTGATTAGCTAGGTCTATTTCAAGGATCAAGGATGTGTAATAATTAATAAACAGGACTACCATGGTCATTTGAGTTCCATACTAAGGGGATGTTTGGTCGGCCGCCATCCCTCGCCACGCCACAGTTATGGCTACCACCGTTTAATGGCTAACGTTTGGTTTCCATGTAGGCTGCGGCAGCCACAACTGGTATGTGTGTTGGATTCCGCCACAGCTGTGGCGGCCATATCGCTCGCCACCGCGCCACAACTTCGGTGGCCGCGCCACACCTAGCATGCCGTGTTATGGTGGGGCACCAAACATGCCCTAATATATCCAAAAATATATGTTAGTTTTTTAGAGAGAGATAGAGAGTATAATTTTAGTTAGAGGGTGTAAAGTGAGTCTTGTCCCAATGTTTGAGGATGAAAATAGAACTCATAGGGGTATAGGGCGTGTTTGGAACCACTTATAATCATATTCTAGATGAAAATAATCAAGAATCTCACCCAAATGCCCTCGGTTGTTTTAAGATTGTCTAAGAATCGAGTGACCAAAAGAATCGCAGTTGAACTAGCTCTTGTGTTTTCTGTACCGTGGCTGAAGGCTCGTGATTTCCACATCATGAGCGACTTTCCACTCATTGCCCCTGCCCTCGGCTCACCTCTCGGCACTCTCCATCCATTCACCGCCGATCTCCTCATCCGCTCCCCTTCTATACGTGTTGGGCACCAACAGGAAGGAGATGTCGGTCTCCCCTTCTGCTCCCCCGTTGGGCACCGAGAGAGCCCGATCTCCCTGTCCGCTCCCTTGCTGGGCACCGAGAGAGACGACAGTGCGGTGAGGAGGCAGGTCCATTCCTCGAGGCGGCGGTGAGGAGGCGGGTCCGCTCCCCTTGGTAGAAGAGGAAGAAGGGCACATATGTCCTTTCACACCCTCGATTGCTATATAATCACGGTTGCCAAATACTCTTGATTTTTTTATATCAAAAAAAATTTAGACCGTGGCTTATAAAAGAATCGTGATTGAATTATAATAGACTAGGTAGCGTGCCCGTGCGTTGCTATGGGACAACTAAATCTTTTGTACTAAAAACACACGGATCGTACGATAAGATAACAATACTGTTAAATTAAATACCGACGTCAAAGTGACATTTAATTCAAAAAGTAAAGTTCATGAAATTAACACAGTCACGGAGAGCGCGACGTAGCAGGCCCACAAACTCTACTGTATAGACTTTTTCGTGATACGACTAATGAAAGCATCTAGGCCCTTAGTTGGGTTTTGGTGATTAATGACAATATGAGATTACTGTGACTAATGTGTGTTTTGCAGATGCAATTAAGTTAGGTCATGGTAATAGCAATTGATTGGGCAATCATGGTTGTCATGCCCCTATGATGGAAATCGTTTCGGTTTTCAAAGGATGGACGACAAGGTTAAGGTTGGACTAGTTCTAAGTGTCGTTTGGTGTTGAAGAGACACTTAGAGTAGTTTAGAACTTTATTTTTCCTTTGGCCGTACTATTAAGGGGGTATGAATGGGTAGCTTGACCTAGGTGAGTTTAGTGGGTTAGGTGTGGTGCACACTTGTCAAATCTAGCACTAGGTAGCTCCTAAAATGCCCTTAGATCAATTGGAGCAAACTTCATTCACATATGATTGCGAGTTGAAAGTGAATGGAGGGTCAAATGCTGACCGGGCGCTAGTTCCGGTGTGACCGGACGCTGGTACAGAGCCCGGTCAGTTCATTTGATCAAGGAGAAGTCGTCTGGATGCGACCAGACGCTGGGTCCCAGCGTCTGGTCGACTCCAGTAAGGTTCTAGAAAGGGAAAATCCTGATCGGACGTGTTCGGTCAGTGCTGACCGGACGCTGGTCAGGTTTCGGCTACTGACCGGACGCTAAGCAGCAAAGTGACCGGACGCTAGGGTTCTAGAGTCCTGTCAACATCAGTAAGGTTCCAGAGGGTAGTTTTTATGACCGGACACTGGCTAGTGTCCGGTCACAACTTAAACTGCTGAGTGGCGGGTGAACTGACCGAAGCGTCCGGTCACCCCGTAGAGGCACATAACGGTTCATTATGAACTCGGGTGTATAAATACTTCCTCCATTTGTGTGAGGGATGACTTTTGCTCATTCCAACAGTTGAGAAACACCCTTGAGAGTGCCAAGAAGAGCAAGGTTCTAGTAAGGTGATTGTGATTTGAGAATCCAAGAGAGAGACCTCATTAGTGAAAGCAAGAGTAGCAAAGTGTGCATCCACCCTTCTCATTAGGCTTGTCATGGTCAAGTGAGAGTTCGTGCTTGTTACTCTTGGTGATTGCCATCACCTAGATGGCTTGGTGGTGCCGCTTGGTGATCATCCGATGGAGCTTGTGGATGACCCAACTCAAGTTGTGAGCGGTTGTGTGTGATTCACCACGACGGAGTGTCAAAGAATCAACCCGTAGAGAGCACTTGATCCTTACGTGGATCAAGGGGGAGCTACACCCTTGCGCGGGTGCTCTAACGAGGACTAGTGGGGAGTGACGACTCTCCGATAACTCAGCAAAACATCGCCACGTTCCTCCTTCTCTATTTACTTTAAGCATATATTTTGAGCAATTCAATTCTTGTCTTTACATTCATAGAATTGCCATACTAGAGTAGAATTGGAACATAGGGTGCTAAACTTTTGTGCGTTAGATCAATAGAAACACTTTTTAGGCACAAGGGGTTAATTGGACTAACCGTAGGGTTTAATTATTGCAAAGAAATTTAGAATTAGTCTAATTCACCCCCCCCTCCTCTTGGGCATCTTGATCCTTTCAATTGGTATCAGAGCCTCGTGCTCACGTATTTAGGCTTAACCGCCTAGTGAAAGATGTCTCACGGGGATGGACCTCCTCATATCTTTGAGGGGGGTGATTTTCCATATTGGAAAATCCGCATGGAGACGTATCTAGAAGCTCTAGATGTTGGAATACTTAGAGCCGCCTCACAAGGTTTCCCAAAACCTCAGGATCCCACACACCCACAAGGAGATGAGTTGAATTACAAAAAATGGAATGCAAAGGCTAGAAACACCATATTTAGAGGCCTTTTGTAAAGATGTGTTCAACCGGGTGAGGAACCACAAAGACACTCATGCACTATGGTCGGACGTTTGTGCGCTCCATGAGGGAACAAAGAGTGAGCATGAGGAACGCTATCATCTTGTCATGAAGAAGCTTAACTCTTTTGAAATGCTTCCCAAAGAATGTGCTAATGAGATGTATTCACGCTTGAATGTTCTTATAGAGGAAGTCAATGGGCTTGGACTCACTGAAATGCAACCATCTGATGTTGTAAGAAAAATCTTGAGTGTCCACCCCATTGACAAATATGGGCATATTGTGACCGTGCTACACCAAAGTGATCTTTCCACCGCTACACCAACACAAATTTTGGAAAAGATCAACGCTCATGAGATGTACATGCACATCACACCTCAAGATGGCTCATCCTCTACAAAGAAGAAAGAAAAAGATTTAGCATTCAAAGCTAGCCAAGATAAGGGGAAAGCAAGGCTTGAGTATGAGAGCTCAAGTGATGATGAAGTTGATGATGCAAGCCTTGCTCTCATGGTGAAAAGAACCGCCAAGATGCTAAAGAAGCTCAACAAGAGTGGCATCAAAGTTTGATGGCAAGAAGAAGAAGTTCTTCACAAGCTCTAGAAGAAAGCCAATCTCGAAGATGGATTGCTATAATTGTGGAGAACTTGGTCATCTAGCACACCAATGTATAAAGCCCAAGAAAGACAAGTTCAAGAACAAGAACAAGGACAAGAAAGATGACTCAAACGATGAAGATAAGAAGAAGAAAGATAAGCCATACAAGAAGAGAGATGGCAAGAAGAAGGACTTCCACAAGAAGAAGAAAAGTGGAAAGGCATACATCGTCGGTGATTGGCTCACGGACATTGATTCATCTAG